CCTTAGGGCATGTAATTAATGTTTTTCGAATATGATACATTTGTTTTGCACATGTTTCATTTTTATGCTATTAATCAGGGGTAATTAGGGAAGTGTCAGGCTTGTTTAACGCAAACACGAATATAAACACTGTAACGATGCACACCTGCATCGTCACTACTCCGGCCCGACCGACAATCAGTCCGGCCGTGCACCGGCGCGTTGCGCCAACATAAGCGCCGTAAGGCCTGAGAAACAAAACGCGTAAACAGCTGACAATAAGCGTAAACAAAGCGAGCGAGGAACACGCGATAACGCGAGCACAGCGTCACACAAAGGAAACGATAGAGAGCGAGCGCCGCGGGCATGCGACAAGCACGTGTACAGCAAGCAAAGACAAAGCGGCGTCAAGTATATAATCCGCGACGCCAAATTAATCGAGACCAGACCAATCCTGACCGTCAACCGAACTCGATGCTACACAGCGGAGAGCAAGGCCTACGACCGACTCGTATCTGCTTCCTCAACCTGCCGACTACCACATCCTCGCAAACAAGGACCGAAGCCAGTACGTTAGCTGCGCTCTGTCGATCTTTATCGACTCTTGTTTGCCTCCTGTCGACGTCCCGAACAAGTACCGAAGCCAGTAAGTTAGCTGCGCTCTGTCGAGCTTTCTCGACCCTTGTTCTCAGCCTTTCGACGAGCGAGATCGGGGGTGAATACGCCGATACATCGGCTACTCACGTCCCATCCCGTCTCTTGCGACGCGGACGTGCAAGCGAGCGCGTCTCTGCCAAGAACGCGAAGACAGCATACAGTACTGAGATACAACTTCGATACCGCCGGCACCGCGCGGTCCCCGCGACCAACGCGCGAGCCGCGCACGAATCGCGAACACCGAATCGCGACACGCGACCGCCTGCCGAATCTCCGAGGCGAGCTTAGCTTTCGCGCTATACGCTCCGCCTACCGACTTACCTGTCGCGGCCTACCGAAACCGCGATCCGGTAACTGGCGCCGTCACCCAGGAGAACTGTATACTAATACGCGACTACTCTGTACCAAGGCTGAATAAATCTTTTTGTTATTTTTGTTTATTACAATCCGCGTCATCTTATTTCACGAACCCGGACTCCGACGAGCGAATACATCCGTAGCATCGACACCAACCGACACGCGGAGTACGGTTGTTACAACACATATTTTACATTGCTTACAATAAAATATATATTTTGTACATCACTTTTGTATGAAAACATTGTATATAACAACATTGTAATATAATAAAACATTGTCATATAATAAAACATTGTTATATGATAAAACATTGTCTTATAATAAAAACATTGTCATATAATAAAACTTATACACTATAAACATGTTTCATTTTTTCGCAATGTTGCGGATGGAATTCTGTATAAAAACAATGAAAACATAACAAATGTTTGCACCAACTGCATGCAATGAATGCATTATTTTGAATCCATCCGCAACATTGTGAAAAAATGAAAGATGTTTATAGCGTATAAGTTTTATTATATTACAATGTTTTTATTATATGACAATGTTTTATTATATGACAATGTTTTATTATACGACAATGTTTTATTATATGAAAATGTTTTATTATATGATAATGTTGTATACAATGTTTTCATATGAAAGTGATGCACTAAAATATATATTTTATTGTAAGCAATGCAAAATATGTGTCTATATTTGTGTTTGCGTTAAACAAGCCTGCCACTTCCCTAATTACCCCTGATTAATAGCATAAAAACGAGACATATGCAAAACAAATGTATTATATTCGAAAAACATTAACTATATGCCCTAAGGTAAAAAAAAAAACATCTGCACAAGGATAACTTCGTCGCCGGGTTTCGAACGCTCGCTTTCGGCTAAAAATTTTCGACGTGAAAGCTTCAGTCTGCTTAGCCACGCCGCCTCGCTGAAAGGCAGTCATATTTTTAGCCATATCCGTGATACAGTCCCGCAACTCAAACTTTATATTGTAATTTCTCACAAACAAAGGCCCATTGGAACAAACCTCAATTAGGACGTTGATGCTTAACATCGCAGCTAGCGAACGTGCTATGTTTCGTTCAAAAATCGATTTAGCAGGTTATGGCATCTCCTTGTAAGTACTATCATTTTTATGCGAAATCCCTGCTTAAAAAGTCCGATAGGATCAGAAAGAAAAATATATATTTGATTCTATCGTGCCTTTGGTTCGTAAATATCAGATTAGTTATCTGAAATTTCAGATACATTTTCTATTTCTCTGTATTTTCGTATAGCGCTAATGTATCATTTTTAATATATACAGGGTGTTCGGAAAGTACCGGGACGCCCGAATATCAGGAAAAATATAAGTTTTACAAAAAAATGTTTCAGACAAAAGTTGTGGCGTTTAAAAGGATGTATTTACTGATCACATCAGTTTGACCTTGGGTTGCGTAGCGAAGGTCAGGTCAAGGTCACATTAATTTTTTTAAATGAAACACCCCATTTTTCATTGCATATTCTTATAGCACATCTCGAGAGCTTTCCAAAACGCTATAATAAAATATTTTTTCGTTAAGAACTTTTCGAGTAATAACACTTGAAATTTCCAGCACTTTGACATAGAATACAAAATATCTCGTAAAATATTCTTCTTTCGGTTATCTTGTCTTAATGCTTTTTTGCACAGAATAATGAGACAAATTAATTGGCTTAAAAAAAGCACAAAAAGATTTTTATATATTTATGTAAAAAATTTTTTGTTTTTTTTTTTAAGCTAATTAATTTGTCTCATTATTCTGCGCAAAAAAGCATTAAGACAAGATAACCGAAAGATGAATATTTTACGAGATATTTTGTATTCTATGTCAAAGTGCTGGAAATTTCAAGTGTTATTACTCGAAAAGTTCTTAACGAAAAAATATTTTATTATAGCGTTTTGGAAAGCTCTCGAGATGTGCTATAAGAATATGCAATGAAAAATGGGGTGTTCCATTTAAAAAAATTAATGTGACCTTGACTTGACCTTCGCTACGCAACCCAAGGTCAAACTGATGTGATCAGTAAATACATCTTTTTAAACGCCACAACTTTTGTCTGAAACATTTTTTTATAAAACTTATATTTTTCCTGATATTCGGGCGTCCCGGTACTTTCCGAACACCCTGTATTTATATGGTCATATTTTATAAAAATTAATAAAATTCTATCGTGTTTTTGGTTCATAAATATCAGATTGGTTATTTGAAATCTCAGAT